ATCAACGTTTTTCCAATGTATGTAAATACTTTGCAAAAGGTTGATTGTTTTTACGAACTAAATCCAACGTTGATCCAATATATGCGACTAAACATTGCTATAGCGAAATTATATAACTTAAATAAAATCTTCTGTGATTATTAAAATAATAAACCACAATCAACACAAAAATGATTTTTGTTCCGATGATCAAGCAATGATAACCTTAATTATAAATATATATATATATATATATATATATATATATATATATATATATATATATATATATATATATATATATATATATATATATATATATATATATATATATATATATATATATATATATATATATATATATATATATATATATATATATATATATATATATATATATATGTTGGCTGTATATCGTAATATATATAATTATATTTATATAAATTTATATATTATATCTATATAAAAATATATTGTATATATATTTAAAAAAATAGAGTTTAATGAAAATTTAATTCCGAATAATATTGTATACAACGTTTGGCCAATTAAAGTTCAACGATTAATCATTGTAAATACAATGTTGTGTGTACGGAACTATTTTCCGTTATTTGCCCGGAAACAAACCATTTACAATGTTTAAATAAACGTTTTATCAATATTGGTTTTTAGTTGCTGGCAACGTCGCATTTGTAACCATAATGGTATAAAAACAACGTAGGCAGCCAATGTTGGACCAACGAAACGCGCGACATTGTTCTGATGTTTTAACAACGTATGTGTGCTAGCTGGGAAGTATTATATTACAAGTATTTACAAGTATCCCACCTAGCACACATACATTGTTAAAACATTAGAACAATGTCGCAGAATAATTTTATCATTAACCAAACGACATTGGATCAACGTTGGTTTTGCATTAAAAAAAAGAACCGACGTTTGCGATGCTTTTACATACGTTGGCCCAATGTAAGTGTGCTAGCTGGGATAAATTATAAATTATATAAGTTAATAACTTTTATAATTTTATATTTTATTTTATTATTTATTAAATTATTATATTATATAAACTATTAACTTTTACATACTATAGTATGTAAAAGTTACATCATTAAAGTCTTCAACTTTTTTCAAAAAATAACTCTAAGTAGCGTGACAGTCGTAACACTTACTTTTACCACTTCTGAACAAAACAACTTTGTCAGACTTAATGCGGCAAACGGCATAGTAAAAAAAAAAATTCAACCCTATGACTGGGTTATTAACAATACATACACTGCCAATTGATAATTCATGCTCTAAAATAGCTATACTAGCAGTTTTCTCGGCAATAATTGCCCTGCTGATCGATAGATAAATCATATTCTAAAATTGTTACATTAGCAGTTCTCCCAGCAGTAAATGCACTGCCGATAGATAATTCATACTTTATAAATGGGTTATAAGCAATAACTGCATTGCCGATAGATTTATGCTCTAAAATTGTAACACTAGCAGTTCTTCCATAGATAAATCATACTCTGAAATTGTTATACTGGCAGTTATCACAGCACTAATTGCACTGCCGATAGAAATTCCTATTCTATAACTGGGTTATTACCTTTATTTGCACTTTAGATAGATAATCTAAACGCTATAATTCCGTTAGATTTTCTTTCATTTTTTTTTAACTATTTTCTTACTATATATTTTATTCCTTATTAATTTTTTTTTTAAACTAGATGGATATTTATGAAAGCTCATTCTTGGCCATCAAACATTATTTCATTTTTTTTTTTGTACTGCCGGCAGTTAATCTTAGAATTATTTGCCGGCATTAAATTCTCACATGTAGTTTGTTTACTTTGATTCTGCTACTTGTTTACGTACACTAATTGAAATTTGATACTTCAATACTCCCTGCCGGCAATTAATCTCAGAATTATTTGCCGGCACTGCCGGCAATTACCGCTAGTCTATTATAATTTCAGAAGCAGATTCACTGTTAATTAATTTAAATTGATCTGAACATTCAAAAGAAACACAGGCTATTAGAACACTGGAAAGATTAGAAAAATTATTGTTTTTAACCTATTTAACAAAAAGGGAGTACCTCGCATAGTAGCAAACTTTTTCAAACAATTCAATCGAAGTTGGAAGCCTCAATACATTAACTGTCTTCAGAAAAGAATTACTTAAAAGTAAAGCTGAACTGTAGAGGCATGCCTCTACAGTTGACAGAGGCATGCCTCTACTTTTTATTTTATTTAAGGTCATCTGAAGATGAAAATTGCCGGCAATTTCCACCTTCAGATGACCTTAAATAAAATAAAAACTATACTAAAACAAGCTCAGTTTATATTAAATACTAGCTGGAAATATAAAATACCATTAACTTTAATAATAGGGTTTTACCTTAAAGCAACATAATCTTTAGTATCTTCTTGCTTTGGGATAAAACGATCCATTTCAGTATTTTCAGAAGACTGACTGTGGCTGAACTGGACTCTTATTATTTAAAACTTTCAATTCTTCAGTCAACTGGTTTTTATATTTGCGAATATTTGGCAAATGTCTAGCCTTAATTGCATTTGAGACTAAAAAATTCATTTTTTTTTTAACAAGCAAAGTCCAACGACGAAAATTACGAGCGAAGAACGTATATCAGGCGGCATATCAGAATTTTGTAAAATTTGAACGATTTGGAGCAACTGATGCAATTGTTCTAAACTTTCTACAAATTTGATTGGTTGTAAAAAACATTTCTTATCTTTTTTGTAAAGTTTTTTGCGGAAGTTTTGTAGCAACTGATGCAATTGTTATTTTATTAAATAGTGGTTGGTTTAAACTGCTTTTTAACCAATCATTAATGATTTAAAGTACAATTGCATCAGTTGCTACAAAGTGATCGGAAAAATTTGTGAAAAAATACAAATATGATTGGTTAAAACGTACTTTTTTTTTTTTAAACTAATCACATTTGTATTTAGTGAAGAACAATTGCATCAGTTGCTCCAAAACGCAGGAATTTTGTCTAAGCAACGAATAAGTAACTATAGAGATCGAATAAGTAACTATAGAGATCAAATAAAATTGATTTTAAGTGAATTTTTTTCGAGTTTAAAACAAGTTTTTCATTTTTTGTGAATACCAGATTCCAATTTCTCCTTTTACATTTTATTAAGAAAAAAAAGTGAAAAAGAGATACACTTAAATTTAGCGGTAAAAAAAGACTGATGCATGCGCATCATTCGCGACACCCTGGATCCGCCCCTGCTTGGTTGCAAATTTTCCAAAAGACAGTAGCTATATCGCAAGGATTCGAAACCTAACTCGCTACTAAAAGAACTTATCATTTTTGCTTTCTACGTCCAACCATGAGCCAGGATTGCATTACTGATCTTTAAATATTTTTATTGAAAAAGATTTGACTAAAAAAATAAGTTAAGACAATGTCATCAAAATTTGGGTGGCCAGAAAAGCTCGAAAAACTCATATTTAAGCGCCTAGTTTACTCTTCTTGAAGACTTTGTTGATTGACTTTTATTGACATTTGTTGGTTTTAAAACTAATACTTTGATTAATTCAATTTTGAATAATGAACCGTTTCTTAATCCAGTAAATTACAAGTAACGAAGAAATACAATGTGTTGTATCAAAAATAGCGTTCACAAAGCTTTAAAGTTTGTAATTTCTTGGTTTGAAATAAAGGCGCAGTTCTTAATTTTTAACCCGGGCGCCATTTCGAAGGCCTTGATTAAACGTATAATAGTTATAGACAGCTAACTTATGGAATTAGCAAAATACATTTATTCACAATCTTTTTAACTAAGTGACATGAGATTTAATAGCATTGTATGTCAAACCATAAATTTATATATATATATATATATATATATATATATATATATATATATATATATATATATATATATATATATATATATATATATATATATATATATATATATATATATATATATATATATATATATATATATATATATATATATATATATATATATATATTAATTTTAAACTTAATTTTAATTGATCAGCTGCTAGATTAAAATTATGAAGTTTCTGCAAAAGGTACTTTTTTGCAATAGGATTTTTGCTAAATCTTTTTAGCGGCTGAATCATACTAAAAGATTTAGCTTTACTTCTTTAAAAAGATAATTCTTCACTTTCAAAGAAGATTTTTTGGAATAAACACAAAGATTAAGACTATAAGGGCTACAATTTTTATTTCTTTATTGTTGCTTATTATTTATTGTTATTATAATTTATTGTTCATAATAAATTATGAGAAGCAAGATTAAAAGTATTGTCTTTCAATTTTGCTTCGTATTATTATGGAATAATAATACGAAGTATTATTCAGAGCTGAAGACTCGAGTCAACCGACTAGAACTCGAGTCCGACTTAAGTCACACCAGTGACTCGATTTGAGACTCGACTTGGGTTTACCCTGAGACTTGCGACTTGACTCGAGACTTGCTAATTTCGGCTTAGCGACTTTAAAATTATTATTTTCCGTCTCTTCAAAAATGGAGCAGTTTATCTTCTATTTTAATTCAACTGTTTTTTAACTATTTTTTATTTTCGAATATTTTTATTTTAACTTACGTTTAACTGGTTTGTAGTCTAAGCGAGATCCGAAGAAAAATATCGCATTTAGGCTCTTTCGTTTTCAAAAAATTCCAACTTTTTTGTGTGCGTTCTGATTGGTTCATTTTTTCTTTAACTCATGAAATTTATTGTTTATAAATGTTCGGTGATTTTAATTTCTAATTTAAATTTTTTTTTAATTCTTTCTTTTTCTTTCCTTAACATTCTTCATTTTTCTCTTATTTATTTTTACTTTCAAAATTATCTTTTATTATTATTATTTTTTCATGTAATTTATTTATAAAATTCATTATAAAAAAGCGTCCGCCATTCCAGAAGTCTTTGCACTGCTGTTCTAATTTTAAGTATTTAAAATTGTGTTTGCTACTAATTTCGGTGATTTGTAAAGTTTTATAAGTTATCTTAAAAGTATGAGTGCTATAAAAATTCAAAAAACGCTTGCAGTACCTGGAATAGTTAATTTTGGTTATACTAAGTTAGAGAAAAAAAAAGAAAAAACTAGATCGGCACGATGTAAATTTTGTCAAGCTTTAATTACCGATGGAGTTGCGACTACAAGCAACTTCATTCGCCATTTAGAAACACATCCAGGAAAATATGAATTATATCAAAAGTTTATTCAGACAAGACCAACGGCTGCTTCACCAGACCAATCTAAGATTTCAGACTTTCGAGCAGGTTATTTACTTATACTAATTTGTTTTTATTTTATGAATGAGAATGATATTGAATGAGAATGATATTGCATTTATTATTTGTAGTTGCTTTGGGAGAGAGTTCTATGACAACATACGGCCGCACCCACCCCAAGCAACGAAGAATTTTGGCAGCCGTTGTGAAACATCTAGTAGTTGGTGCATCACTACCCGTGTCTATAGTAGCAAGTGAACATTTTAGGCGATACAATAACGTTCTTGATCCTCAATGCTCAACTATTAGCCGTTTTGTCGTAAAAACCTATTTAGAGAAAACGTATACGGATGCAAAGGAAAAATTAACTGAAAATTTATGTCAAGCTGCAAGCATTTCCCTGACACTTGATATTTGGTCAGATAGAAAAATGAGGGGTTACCTTGGTGTAACAGCGCATTACATACATAACTATCACTGTCACACACGACTGTTGGCATGCGATAGGTTCTTAGTTGCTCACACTGGTTATAACATAGCAGAACATTTTGAATCCATTTGTAAAACATACAAAATTCTTGACAAAGTTGTGTATGTTGTGACGGACAATGCCTCAAACATGCACAAAGCATTTACTACAAATTTTCCAGAAGACCCCGAAGGTGGCGGTGATACATCTGCAGAGGAACTTGCAGAGGACTTAGAAAATGAAGACCTGTGGGAAGACATTATTGCACCGGACAAAATAATCCAAAATATCAATCAGCTTAACCCAAGAAGAGAGGTTACAAGACTAAGCTGTTTTGCTCACACCCTACAATTAGTTGTTGGCGATGGTCTTAAAGAGGCAAAAATTTACTCCGCTCAAGTTAAAGCATCCAAAATATGCACTTTGCTTCATACTAGTACAACATTTAAAGTGGCTTTTGATAAAACGTTTGGCTTCAAACAGGGTATTCCTCTAGTAAACGCAACAAGATGGAATTCCACATTCCGTCACATAAAAAGCGTTGTCAATTTAGATGAAAAGAAATTGAAAAACCTGCTTGATGATTTAAGTCACCGCAATCTAATACTAAATGAAAGAGAATACGTGCAACTTAGAGAGCTTATTGATTTATTGCAACCATTTCTTGAAGCCACCGATATGACTCAAAGTGAAAAAAATATAACAACTTTATTAGTAGTTCCCTCTATCGTTGGGCTATATAGTCACTTAGAACAATTTAAGACAACTTATCTGTCCGGTATGAAACAGGTATTGCGAAACAGTCTTCAAAAAAGATTTTCTGGTATATTTGCAAATGTTGACCTTATCCCATCAATAGATAAGAAACTACCATTTAATGACTTGATATATATTATTGCCACAGTTTCGGATCCCAATTTTTCTTTCTTTTGGACTGAGAAGCTATGTCATGTCAATCCAGGTCAAACAGACAACTTAAAGACAAATATTATTTCAAAAATCCGTCAATTCTGCAACAAGCAGTTTAGCCATACCAATGTAGCCATGGACGGAAAAGTCTTACCAGAAAACCTACCCTCTAAGAAGCCAAGAACTAATTCATTTTTGTACTCTTATTGTAGATCTACACTTGTCATTCAGACTGGAACTACATCACAACCACCTGTTAAAAGTTTTGATACTCAGTTTCATTGCTATGAGGAACTAGTAAATGAAGTGTTTGCATCTAATTTCAATACCCTAGACATAGACTGTCTCCAATTTTTGAAAATGCATGGGCAAAAATTACCAATTCTCCGAAGTGCTGCCATGTATACTTTTGTGGTACCTGCAAGCAGTGCTCCTGTTGAAAGGGTATTCAATTAGGGTGGCCTGATTATGAACCCTAAGCGTGCAAGTTTAAATTCTGACACTGTTTGTCAGTTAGTGTTTTTAAAATGTAACACGGATATATTACTATAATTTTTTATGAAAATCAGCATTTGTAATCTTTTTTCAAAAGAATGATAGAATAAAAACATTAGTAAATTGGCTAAATAGCTTATGAAGTGTTATGTCACTGTATTGTGTATTATGACTCCTTAGCTATTTTATTACAGATGGTTTATTTTACTTTTAAAGCTACTTTAGTAAATAAAGTAAAATTATAACTATTATCATGCTCTATTTTATAATTGTAAGGTGACTGTTTGAATGCAGCTACCAGAGCCATCGCAAGGTTCCCCCATGCCCCTCTTGTAAGAGGAATTTCGTGGTTTTTATTACAGGTTTTGGAAGGGGCCTCCGAACTCCTAGCCGCGTCACTGATAGCCACCACATGCACGGGAGTCTTTTATTGTAATATGACTTGACTTGAGACTTGACTTGGCATGTCACTATATGACTTGAGACTTGACTTAAGACTTGACCTCAGTGACTTGAGACTTGACTTGAGACTTGCTCCAAAGCGACTTGAAAACAGCTCTGGTATTATTATACCACAATAATACGAAATAAAATATTATTGTTCATAATAATACGAAATGAAAATATTATTATTATTAGAATAATAAAAACAATCAAAATAACAATGAATAAGATATTTTTACAAATACCGCAATATGACGGTTATGGCTTTTGTGACGTTTGTTTTTATATATCAAGAGATTCTGGACAAGTTATGAAAAAAACTGATTAAAAAAGTATTAGCTTTTGTGTTCGTTAGTCATATCAATACTTTTAATAATGTATTTAAAGATTTTATATAACTTTAAAACAGTTTAATGAGCACTGCACAACGATACCAATCTACTTATTTAAAATCCTCAATTTAAGTTCTGTTTCTTCTTGTTCAAAAACTGCTCTTAACAAATAACAAATTTATTAACGGTTTTTATATTTTTATAGGCGTCGGAAACGCTAAGTGTGAAACCGCTAAGCTAAATTAAAATAAATTAAGAACTTTTTAACGTTTAGGATACTACTTTAACTAGAATGGGATTAACAGAAAGACATGGTTGGAAAAAACTCAAATCTCATTTTGATGAAGATGCAAAAACTTGGCATATGAGAGATTTGTTTCAAAAAGATCCTGATAGATTTAAAGCATTTAGGTAAGTACTAATTTTGTTCTAATCAATTCATCGATAAAAGTTTAATAGTATTAATTTATTTGTAAATTAAATAATAATATTTTGTAAATATAATAATAACAACACTAATATATTAACCGAATTAAAAATAAAAAATTGAAAACATAATAATATTATTACATTAATAGTTATATGTGTGTGTTTAAATAAAAGAAATATTAATAATAACAAAAATAGTAATAATAGCAATAATAACAATAATGATAATTATCATAACAAAAACTTGTAAATCTTGGTAGTTCTTTCATATATAGCATGGATAAAACAAGAAAAATAGCCATTGAAAGAAAACGAGAAAAAGAAATAAAATATTGTAAAAACAATTAAAAAGTAACATAAATTTGCTGGAAAACCACATATTCACATAAACAATATTTTTATTAAATACAAAACAAAATAAAAATAAAAATTTCTGCAACCATACAGTAATAAAAATCTGCAAAATAAAGCTAACTTAAAATAGATAAAAGCCAGATAAATTTTGTATAAAAAAGTATTTGTTTAGATTTAAAAAATATTTGAGTAGATAATAAACTTCCAAGAATAGTATCCCATGGTTGAACTTGCTTTTGTTGAGTTTTTTATAAAAATTTGTTTATGGGCTCCAAAGGAAGAGATTTTTCATAAAAGTTATAAAAATGCTTATTAAATTGTTTACATATTGATTATAAGTTATTTCATACAATAAATGCTCCTAGGTTAAAAGTTAAGTTGGACAAATAAACCATCTATAACTGTAGATGGTTTCAGTTTTTATAGATTTTCTGCCTCCATTGACAAGAATAGCAATTCTGATATTTTTTGTCTTCCGTAAAAGTCCTTTTTTTTAAATTTACATTATTAAAAAGTGTTTTTATTAGTTTTAATTTCAAAAAACATTTTTCAGCTGTTGTTATTCGATTGGAAGTTCCAAAAATTAAAAAAGCTTTAAAAAAATGTCTAATTTTTTAGAGTTTCTCATGCTGTGAAACAGCATATATATATATGTATTACTCAGGTCACAGAGGCTCAAAAGTTTTTGTTGATATATATATATGTATATATATATATATATATATATATATATATATATATATATATATATATATATATATATATTTATAGTTTTTTAAGAGAAACTTATTTTTGTGCATGCATTTAGAAATTAATTCTGATTTTTTGTTTAAAAAACATTCTTGGTTTGCATGTGTAATAATTTCAAATTTTTCTTGTAGGCATAATATACATTTTTTGAAAATATTGTAATATGCAGGTGCTATTTTAAGGATAGACCAATTCATTATAAAATCATCAATATTTTTATCTTTTAATTCCGATATATATTTTGACAGCATGGTGTCTTTTGAATACTTTTTATTTTTAAAGGATTGCTTATGATTGGCGAAACGTTTTTTCTATTCACTCATTGCTATGCCAATATATATATATATATATATATATATATATATATATATATATATATATATATATATATATGTGTATATAAATATGTGTATATATATATATATATATATATATATATGTATATATATATATATATATATATATATATATATATATATATATACAGTAGAATCCCATTAACTCAGACCCTGGTTAAGTGGGACTTGTACTAAGTTGCACAAATTTTCAATTACTCTTGAATTCTCTATACATACCCAAAGCTTTGCTTAACTTGGGCATATACATATACAGTATTATTAAATTGTTGCAAAATTGTAAGGAAAATAAATATCATGTTATTTTTTTAAATGTTTAAATGTACTTGTAAACTGTTTTTGATATATTTTAGTGAGACATTGAGTACTCCTCATGGAGAGATTTTGGTTGATTTTTCAAAAAATCGAATTACAGAAACAACATTAAGATTACTCTTGGAGCTTGTTAGTATTTTATCTATTATATTTCAAATTTAATAGTTTAATTAAATTTTTAATTTTCATTTTTAAAATGGTATTTATTGTTTTGTAGAATTTGTTGTTTAAAAATTTCTATACTAAATAGTATTTATTGTTAATTAATAAAAAAATGCAGCCATCAAAGTTTAAAATGTAATTCTATCAAATCTTGTTTTCCTTTAATATCCAGAGTACCAGAGTACTTTATGGCTACAAAATGGTTACAAAATGATTACTTCTGGAAAATTTAAATATTGCTTTATTTGTGCTATGCTAATTTGTTGCATTTACTATAAAAAAATTACTTGAATTTTTTAAATGTGCAAGGTTATTGTTGTTAATAGCTTAATAATAAGTGATGAAGATTTTGTTGACCAAGTGATGAAGATTTTGTTGACAAAGACTTGTACAATTTAGCTCCAGAAAATATTACATCACTCACACGATGATATCATGGAATTTAAATCCTACCTTTTTTTTCCTCTATTCAGTTATCTTTTCATTTTATATGAGCCTATAATGGCTTTTTAATGGTATTTCTTTTTTTTTTCTTTTTTTATATAAAAGTTTATTTATTCTTTTTATTTATTTGGAATTATTTAATTTAATTAAACCAATTTAAAAGTTAAACATGAAAGGTCGATTTTTTGAGCAATGTGTATCTATTGTCCAGTGTTTATTACTTTTGATATAGAAATAAAAAAATAACTTTTGATTTTAACTAGCATCTGTATAATAACATAATCTTGTTTTGTAAACTTTTGATATGATTTTCTGAAGACATTATTGGATTTTATCAAATGTTCGGAATAATGTGGTTTCTTGTCGGTGGGGATATGTTGTCAGCTCTCATCTATTCTTACTCTATATTGTTGATGAGGTTTAGATAGTTTGTCCTGTGTTTTGCATTTTAAGGGTAGGTTATCATGCTGGTTTTGAATTGTTATGCTTGAACCTACCATTAGCGGACAGTGGTATTGTGGTTTTTTAAACTTAAATGAATTATGAAATTGTTTTATGGCTGCTTTTCCACGCATATTGGCCATTCAGACCACTCTATTCTAAATTGTATTGGATTTGGTAAGTGGTCATTTATTGTTTTTCCAAATAATAATTCAGCTGGTGATGCTCCAATGTCTTGGGCTGGTGTGTTTCTGTGCAATAATAATATTCTTCCCACTTTGTTAGTGTTTAACGATCCACTCGGGCTGATATTTGTCTTATTCTGTCCAACCTGAGAATCGGTCTGCATATACTATATATTTGTGGCCTGATATATGGGGAATATGTCTACCACTGTTTTTTTAAAAAGGTATTCAGGTAATATTGGTTCTTTGAGTGGCTCTTTATGGTTTAAGGGTGCGATTTTGTTACATCAACGACATTGAGCTCTGTAGTTTTGTATTGAGCACTCATACCTGGCCAGAAATAGCTCTTTTTACATTTTCTCTTATTGCAGCTATACCTTGACGTCTTTCATGTAAGTAATTGAATAAGATTGATCTCAGTTTGTTTGGTATTAAGACTTTACCATCTAAAAATATGAGACTATTTATGGCGTATAAATCGTAATGTTTTGACCAAAATTAGTACATTTTGCTTGTTTTCTGGGAATCCTGTTTGTATATGTTGCAATAAATCTTGATATGTAGAATCGATTGATGATTTTATAATAATTCTATTCATTTTAATAGGGCCGTTGAAGTGATTAAATAAAGAATGAATGGTTCGTAATAAGCCGCTTTCGATATTGCATGATTTGTTTGAGGTGTTACTGTTATTGTTAGTAATTCATGATATAGCATCAGGAGCAAATTATATTTTCAGGGGATCGAAATGACTTTGAATTTATACATGACTGTTTTTTCACGTATTTTAAGAATTTGACGAATCTTGATCTCGTCTAGATTTTGATCGTTAAATATTTTTACTAATGGTTTATGGTCAACTACAATAATTAGGTAAGAACATCCCATCACAAACATTTTGCAACTTTCAAAAACATATTATAATGCTAAGGATTTGCTTTCAATGGGAATTGTATTGACTTTTGTAAACCGGGAGCCAGCATGAACGATTTTTTAATGAGATATTGTTTATGCTGCTGCATATTGGATGATCAACGTCAGGGCATTCACAATGTTTTTGTGTTAGTATAAAACCTATACCTAATTTACTCCAATGGGTAGATAAACAAGTTTGACGATTTGTGTTGAATACTTGTATACCTTCTTTTATTAATTCCATTATTTTACGCTTAAATTCTTGAAAAAGGTTTTCAAGGGTTTGATTCCAATAAAATTTACCTTTCATGCTTAACAGGGTACGGAGTGGAGTCTTTATTGGTGCCTGAGAAAAGTGTATGATACCTTTGTGATAAAGCCAAACCATGAGCGAATCCTAGTAATATTTTTTGATGATGGAAAATGTTCTATAGCATCTAATAGCTTTATGGAAAGTCTGTATCCTGTCATGGTTTACTCAAACCCAGCAAACTCAATTTTGTCAGAGGCGAATTTAAATTTTTCAGGATTAAAAACTATTCTGTTGTCTGAGCATAATTTAATATAAGATAAACTATGCCATAATGAGGATTGACTGTTGCACTGCAAGTCAGTTGTAGTTCATTATAGATATCTCTTGGCTAAGTTAGTTTTTTAATTTCTTTATACCTCATTCATGAGTCGAGGAAAATAATCCATTTACTCAGGCTTGGACAGGAGTGACGTGCGATCGAGCGCTATTGTTGACCACGCAAATGGTTTTATTTTTTCACAACTTGACCATGATTGTTTATATGTTTTGATGATTTATACATTTCTGAAATGCATTGCATGTAAAAACTATCGAAAAAAAAAATCCTAACAAAAAAAGAAAATAAAAAAAATTTATTACGAAAAAGAAATTATATAAGTACTAAAATAAATAAATAAATTAAACTCGAAGCGAAACATTTTGTTACATATTTAAGTGAAATAAATGTTATTAAAACTTATTTTTTTATTTAAAGTTATGCAAAATGCTTTTAAATTAAGTAATAAATTACTTCTAATGATTGTTTAATAAATGATCAAATTTTATCAAATTTATTAAAAAGTGTTGTATATAATGTTGTATGTAATTTTTAATAATTTCAAGCTTAAATTAGTAAGTTTAAGTTAAAAATAAGGTTTTAACTTTTTTTATAGGGAAAAAAAATGGATAAAAAAATGCGCCTGCAATTTAAATAAAATAAACTGTTTTAAATAGTTTAAAATAAATAGTTTAAAATAAACAACAAGCAATTTAATTTAGTTTAAATTTGAGCATTACAACTTTATTAATAAGCACTTCACGTAACAAATTTAAAAGTTATTTTAAAAAATTTTAACTCATTTATTCCTATCCTAATTAAAAAAAAAAAAAAACTTTCAAAAAATATAATTTTTGTTTAAAAGATTTTTATTAACATTTTTTATTAATATTAAGACTTTTGTATAGCATTTTTTATTAATTAACACATGCGTTTATATAAACAATCATTATAATTAATTTTTATGGTTTTATTTAAAGCCTCGCATAAAATAAAATCTTTAGAAAAGATCAATGATTAAAAGTAATTCATAACATAACACTTTCTTTTATTGCATTTAAATCGTTAAAACATCAAAATTGCCATGGTCAAATTGTAAAGAAAAAACAATTTTAGCGTGGCCAGTTACAGAGTGCAATTGCACGCCATTCCTGTCCAAGCTTGTCTATTGTCTGAGATATGGGATTCTATGGATAGTTGCTTGATTTCCAGTGGTCGTGTATTAACATTGTTTGTTGAAGTTAATAATGAGATATTGTTTTGATTTTGTGATGACATTATCATTTTCATCATTTCGGTCATTTGATTTTACATATTCATTTGTTGTTGTTGCATGTCTAACATCATTTTTATGTAGTTGATACTGCATTTAGTGTTATTTGATCCAATTACAAACACTTCAACTTTTGTTAAATGGCAAGTGGTTTTAGTTGATTCAAATCTATCGGTGAGGCCAACTAAAACTGCATCTAAACTGGTAAAATATAACTGCTTGTAGATCTCATTTAGATCCTTTGGCTGGTAATAAGTATACCTGAAGCCTACTTAAAATTTTGCAGGTACTTTTATCTTCCTGGGCAGAGCTGCTTTAAATCCATCATAACAGAGCTGGTCTAAATCCATCATTTCAGATTCAGTTGCCGCATCGAAAAGTGTTTTGAAACGTGACTCAGTACACAAAGATCTTAAAATTTGTTTCAGGGTCTGAATGATGGGTTCAACCATATTAAAGTTGAGTTGGCTTCCCTGAAGTTGAATGCTTAAATCTTCTAGGATGGTAAAAATGATTCGAAGAAATTCCAATTTAAAAATGGTGTCAAAAACCTGAAAATAAGACAAGAAGGTTATTGTTTCCACTCAGTATTTGATAAAGTCAGGGTTGGTGGTAAGGTCTTTCAGCCAAACTAGATCTGTAATTACTCGTAATAGATACTAGAAATGGCTTGCACATTATCTATCTGGTTGGAAAAAATGGGCTAAATGATGTTCCAGTTCGGTGTCTATCTTTGTTTTCATTTTGGTCTTTTAAGCTTGGAATCAAGCGAGCCTTAGTGGTGAGCCTTTGGTAAAAGCAATGAAATTTTGAAATAATGACATGATATTTTTTTCATCAGGTATGTTTTTTATTTCATCTTGTATGACCAAATTTAAATTGTGAGCTCTGCAATAAACATAAAGGGCTCTATTTTCTTGTTGCAGAATAAGTTTTTATAAGCCAGCTATTTCAGAAGACAAGGCAGCAGCTTCATCCTAGAATTGTCTCCGACAGTTCTCGAGCCTTTAGTTGGAATTCAGAACAGGTCTTCTCAGGAGACATGTGCAGTCGCACGCCTTGAATGGCCACCCATATATATTTTTTTGTTGATAATTTTTTTTACCTATATTAAAAATGGCGCATTTTAAAAATGCGCTG